TTTTCCTTTATGTATGTTGCATTTTGGCACAATGTTTTAAATACCTACCGGTGGACATACGGTCTAGCCACCGGTATGCGGTATTATTGGTAGGACCGGTAATACCTCTACTTCCAATAATATTATATATTTATATAAGATATCATATTGAAAATATAAAAAATTGAGTGATGCTAAAAAGTGAAAATATACATTTATTAGTGCCAACCTTAGGTATACTTTCAGTTTTGGCATTTTTTTTTTAAAAAAAAAGGAAATATTAGGTTTTTATGCATGTATGACAACATTTTTTATTTATTTATTTATTTTTTTCAGATCGGTATTTAAAATCGGTATTTGACGGTATATACGGTATGATACCGGTACAACACGGTATTATCGGAAATATGGTATTTTGAGTGTTTTTGGACCGTACCTATAGCCGGTATTCGCTAATACCGATATTACCGGCCGATATGGGACGGTATTTAAATCACTGTTTTGGCACACAACATTTCTTTCTAAAGCACATTATTCTATTTGTGAGGCTATAGTCCGCGATAGTAACGGATTTAAACCGATTTTGACCGATCAGATAATTTTTTACACTCTTTAACTTAATATTCAACTCAAATTTTATCCAACTCAACTACTCTCAATATTATCAATGTACTTTAATAATATTTATTAGTCATACTCACATATCACATCAACTTTTAATTCATGGTTCATCTATCACGCATACTTTTAACTACCTATCGTAAGAGGTTGTCACGAGCCGCCCGACCTAGGCCCGACCGGGTCAACCCCGCTCACCGCGAGTCCGGGCCTGACTCGAATTTTAATTGGGCCAATTTAGAGCCATGTTTTTTCGATCCTGGCTCGGGCGGTGTTGGGTCCAACCCGGCCCGAGAAATCACCATACATTGTTGTTTTAATTTTTAATTTTTATTGGTCGAGTCCTAGACCCGGGCTGGGCCGAGTCACCAACCAGACACGGGCCTAAGTAAGGGCCAATTCCAGGTCGCCATTTTTGAACACAAAGGCCCGCTGGGCTGGGCCGACCCAGACATTGACCATGTGTATCTATCATTTTTTTTTTGGTACAATAAAGGAGGCTACGAAAGCCTAGAGAGGAATCGAACGCGGAGAAGCTACCCCCATTCTATCATGGTTGAGCCAAAATCCAGCCCCCGGCGGAGGGCTGGCTAGTCGAAATAGTCCACACGGCCCTCTTGCCGCCAACATCGCAAGATAATCAGCCACAACATTGGCCTCACGATAGACATGGTGTATGTCCACCACCCACTCGCGGCCCAAAAGCTCGCTAATGCCTCGTAACAGCCCGCCATGAGGAGCATCCAGGTTGTCGCCTTGAACCATATGAATGATGCTTTGATTATCTACTTCCACCTGCACCCGCCGAATGCCAATATCCCAAGCCAATAGGAGGCCCTAAAATAAGCCACACAATTCTGCACCGATGATCGAACAAAATCCGATATTCATCACAAAACCCTTCACCCACCGACCAAGGTTATCCCGAATGACTCCCCCAGCACTAGCCATTCATGTAGCCGGATCAAAACTACCGTCCGTGTTTAATTTCATCACACCCGCAGCCGGACAGGCCCAAGCTATCCACCGAAGCTCCCGTAACCCAGGCACCCCCACACAACGACTATCCGCCAAGGCTTGGCACCCCATTTGCACAAAGGACCGTATCTCGCGAAGGCGGCGATAAATGAAAACCTCCGAGCCCTGAAAAATATGTATATTCCGCCACCTCCATAGTCGCCATGCCGTAATCCCAAAGATAGTCATCCAATACTCAGACACCCGACTAAATTCCCCTCTAATGTTCGCCAGCATCCACACCCTTAAATCGAGGGAGAAGAACGCCGACCAAAGGACTCTGGGAAATAGTCGCTTCCACGTGCACGCTGTTGCTGGAAAATCTCGAA